TTATAAATAACATGACATTTGTATTTAGTTATTGATTCATATAAATATTTACAAGAAAATAAAATGTTTTCATACAATTCAAGGCATTTGGTGTTCGATCATCCTACAGCAAATGTTAACGCTTGCATGGGGTGAGTTGGGGAAGGAGAAAGTAGGGGAGGGGAAATTGAACAGGGAGATGTGTGATCATCATCTGTCCAGCATTCTCTCTCCAGTCTGTGAACCTGTCCATCTGGACAGTCTGTCTAGCCTGTCTTGCATTACAGTCTGTCTAGCCTGTCTTGCATTACAGTCTGTCTAGCCTGCCTTGCATTACAGTCTGTCTAGCCTGCCTTGCATTACAGTCCTGTATAGTCTGTCTTGCATTACAGTCTGTCTAGTCTGTCTTGCATTACAGTATGTCTAGCCTGTCTTGCATTACAGTCTGTGAAGCCTGTCTTGCATTACAGTCTGTCTAGCCTGTCTTGCATTACAGTCTGTGAAGCCTGTCTTGCATTACAGTCTGTGAAGCCTGTCTTGCATTATAATGTTTAGCCTATCTTGCAGTACAGTCTGTCTAACCTGTCTTGCAGTACAGTCTGTCTAACCTGTCTTGCAGTACAGTCTGTCTAGCCTGTCTTGCTCAACAGTGTCTAGCCTGTCTTGCTCAACAGTGTCTAGCCTGACAGCCTTTCTTGCCTTACAGTATCGAGCTTGGCAGTCTGTATAGCCTGATGAGGTACCTTCAGATTTTAAAGTGCTAGTACCACTCCCACACTAATTTATCACATTTTAATTCAGACCGTCCGCTTACCTCGCCATTTTATTGCACATTTTTATTCGGACAAGCCCTAAACAAATAACAGGAATATCTAGATAAGAGGTGTTTGGAAAGCCCGTGCGCATGTGGTACAACATTTTATTTATATATATATATATATATATATATATATATATATATATATATATATATATATATATATGTCGTACCTAGTAGCCAGAACGCACTTCTCAGCCTACCATGCAAGGCCCGATTTGCCTAATAAGCCAAGTTTTCATGAATTAATGTTTTTTCGACTACCTAACCTACCTAACCTAACCTAACCTAACTTTTTCGGCTACCTAACCGAACCTAACCTATAAAGATAGGTTAGGTTAGGTTAGGTAGGGTTGGTTAGGTTTGGTCATATATCTACGTTAATTTTAACTCCAATAAAAAAAAATTGACGTCATACGTAATGAAATGGGTAGCTTTATCATTTCATAAGAAAAAAATTAAAGAAAATATATTAATTAAAGAAAACTTGGCTTATTTGGCAAATCGGGCCTTGCATAGTAGGCTGAAAAGTGAGTTCTGGCTACTAGGTACGACATATATATATATATATATATATATGTCTTACCTGGTAGCCAGAATGCACTTCTCGGCCTACTATGCAAGGCCCGATTTGCCTAATAGGCCGAGTCATTTTCTTTATTTTCAATAAATTTTTCCAAATAGTTCATTTGAATTATTATTATTTTATATTAAGACCATAATTTATTGACTTAGTTGTGTTAGTTTAGGTTAGGTAGGGTTGGTTAGGTTCGGTCATATATCTACGTTAGTTTTAACTAAAATTTAAACAAATTAACTTATACCTAATGAAATGGACAAATTTATCATTTCATAAATTTTTTGTTTGGAAAAATATATAAATTCAGGAAAATTTGGCTTATTAGGCAAATGGTCCTTGCCTAATAAGCCAAATTTTCCTGAATTTATATATTTTTCCAAAATTTTTATGAAATGATAAATTTGTCCATTTCATTAGGTATAAGTTAATTTGTTTAAATTTTAGTTAAAACTAACGTAGATATATGACCGAACCTAACCAACCCTACCTAACCTAACTAACACAACTAAGTCAATAATTTATGTTCTTAATATAATATAATAACAATAATTCAAATAAACTAATTGGAAACAATTTATTGAAAATAAAGAAAATCACTCGGCCTATTAGGCAAATCGGACATTGCATAGTAGGCCGAGAAGTGCATTCTGGCTACTAGGTACAACATATATATATATATATATATATATATATATATATATATATATATATATATATATATATATATATATATATGTACAGTATATTTGTTTATATAAGGTGTGGTAAGTTTTTAAGACTGGGTATACTGTGAAAACAGTGGGTTGTAGAATTTAAATGCATGATGGTATCTTATGACTCCCCATAATTTATATTTTAGCATACTTTTTATAATGCTATGTAGAAGGCAGAAAAGTGCTTGTACAATGAGGAGTATTTTATATGAAAGGTTTGGCATATAACAAATTTGTTCCATATGGTTAGGCACTCGGGGCCTCTTTAAGTAACATTTACAATATTGATGCTTCAAAGAAAGCTATTTCAAAGAATTAATAACTGTGTTGACCAAACTACACATCAGAAAATGGAGAAACGACGGTGTTTTGGTCTGTCCTGGACCATTATCAAGTTGACTTCCCTTTCACAGTACCTACTTAAATGTTCTAACCTTAACAAACATGATCTTTCTTAAGCTTTACCCCAGTTGCGTATTTTTACCCATTTTTCTTATTCTTATCTTTCTATTCTTACATTGATCCTATGCTTACCTGCTCCTTACCTCTCATCTTACTCTCTTACCTTATATATGCAGTCAAGCCTGGCCCTGGGCCTGGATTGGGAAATATAGGAACTCCCAGAAACCCATTAAGGTACGATATTTGCCTGTATCTTCCTCTCTTCTATTACATAATGGCCCAGGACAGACTAAAATGTCAATTTCTCCATTTTCTGGTGTGTGGTTTGGTCATCGTATTACATGATTCAGTCACGTTATTGTGACTTATCGTCTGCAATTAATAACTGTAAACCTGTGAAACAGATTGCAGTGTGGCAGGTCCTCTCAATGTGAAATGAGACACGATACATTATTAACTGCACTTTTGCCTCAAACAGCACTGGAAAGTAGCATGATACCAGGTGTTGGTTGATGTGATTTTTTTTATCTCGTTTGCAAAATATACCCAGTCCTGTAGCTTTCCGATCATCCTTCATACATTCCTGTGAACATTTCCAGTAACAGGTACTGTATTATATGGCAATATGAACACTTCAGGAAGACCCATAACTTTTATTTTTTTTATGTTAATGTTGGTGAAAAATGTGATGAGGAAAATGAAGATAACAAGGCCACTGTGGTACCTTCATAAAATTTGTTGAATCAGACTTAACAAAAACAGGCAATACCTCAGCTTGAAAATCTAATACTATTACTGTATTAATATTTTATTACAAATTTATAAGAAGTACACTAATCTAAAATTATTTTCACAAATATTTGTTGGTTAAGGGACAATCTTCACTATTTTCATACATCCATAAGCCAATATACAAAAATTAATTTACAAATACCTAACTAGAATTGACTAATGTTAGTAAAAGTTAACAATACAGCAGTTAACATGAAAGATTCCTATAAAACACATTTATGTCTAAAGATAATGTTCATATTAACTAATATTAGATTTTGCAAGAGAAGCCATAAATTTTCATAAAAATAAAGAGTGCTATTCTACATTGGCACCTTGTTTCAATGCCCACAAGGGCATAACATTATTCACATTAATGTTTGGTCATAGAATAATGTATAATTATAACTTAATGCTTATCATTCCTAGAAAACCAGGAGGACAAAAAAGATGACAGAGGGTAAGAGCGAGTAAAGTGTTATTTAAAACATGAAGAGAGCAAGGTAAGTTAATCATCAGGAGATAGCACTAAGCCATTACGATTATATAGCACTTGGGAAGGACACGAGGATAACGATTTGGGTTACGATGAAGGGAAGGAAGAGGAGAACGAGATGATGAAAAGATGTGTTATATACACACTTAAGCGTTTGCTCTGCTTTAAGTTTCCTTCATGGTTCACACTCATACAGTGTACTTGTGTAAAACACAAAACACATGTACAATTGCACACACGCAAGCAATAAAATTTAACATTAAAAATTTATTAATCCTCTTAATATTTTATTATGCTTACTGTTTTATATTTCATAATCCATCTACGTTACAAAAGTACACATTTAAAAATAAACAGTATTTTTAGTGTCTATAATACTGATGTTGCAGCTATTTAAGATTGTCAAGATTTAAAAACATTTGGTAAAGCTGCACCATGCTATCAGGATGCAAGTTTTTAATCAATAATAAATATTGCAATTTTTTAAATAATATAAAAGGAATTACATATAGGTTATATGATATACGTTGGCTTAAGGCAATAGGCCTGGATCAACGTAAAAGCCAGCATTCAAAGTTGTGATTCCAGATTAATATTCAGGGGCGCTAGTTCTTGGCATGGCTCTCGATAGCATGTCGAAACTTCGTGCAAATGAAACACTAAATGCTTTATTCACACTGTTCCATGGCCACTCTGTTTAAGGTGTAAACATAATGCACAGCATTTTTGCTGAATACAAAATAGAAATAATCTTATGAACAGACTGTGTGTATGAAATGAAGACAAAGTATATATATGAAATGAGATTGACTTTTCATGAATGAAATGGTACTACTACAGAATTCCTTGACCTCAAATTCTGTATCATATACTACTGTATATATATATAAAAATCTTCAACATTTAATTTGTACACTTGAGAATTTGTGTACCTGCTTTCCAGCGCAACACAGAAATCTGGAGGTATTCACATTTTATGAGACCATAGTACTAAAAATATTATATAGATTAAATTAAATTTCGAGCAATCTTGGTGCTACCTGTTCATTTAAAGCTCTATTGGCTACCCAGCTTCAGCACTGAGCTACTGTGTTAGCACTATATAAACCAATTTGTAGTCAAATCCAGATTTGTCAATAATGTGTGTGATTGGCCCTACACTATACTGTGGTTTCCCTGAACACATGAGCATGGGAGTCGGGAGTGGTGGCGGCAGAGGCCAAGTAGTGAGTGGAGACGATACCCTGAGAACCACATCTCAATGTTCTAGTTGGTACGTTGCTTTCTTCTTCCACGTCTGTTGCCTGGTTGGGCAGTGCAGTCATCTCTCCCAGCTCCCGAAGCTGCCACACAGGTTCATCCACTGGGGTGCCGTCATCTGTAAGGCAAAGTACCTGATAGAACTATGGACAATCATGACATTTTATTAATTGAGAATCTATCAGCCACAAATAACTACTGTATTATAAATGGCAAGTCTACAGAAATTTTTTATTTATTTAGATCTACTACTTAGCACTTGAAAGTTTAGTATATTTAGTCTCATTCACAAAATGTATTGTTTTTGTAAGTTCACAGTAGGGCTATAGTGCATGGTTTATACTTCCCAACCATATGCTGTGGATTAGGAGTTATATGGAAATGCAGGCTATCACTATCAAATTTTCTTTTTACAGTATGTTATTCCACAAGGCTTTCCTGAGCTATTACATTTGGCTGCTCCCTAATATGACTAGAATTCAGTCACCTCTAGAGCTATTACACTTTTAAAACCAGTGTTAAATGTATGGAAATGAAATGTCTCTTTCTGGAGAGTCCTTAGTGGCTCCTTGGTGTATGCTACCTGGCAAGATCCACCCAATTCAATCCATACCAGGCCCCTGGGAGTCATTATAAGCCTATCAGGCAGCAGAGGCCAAAACCTAGCCACCGTTCACCACTGTGATGTGCCGGATTTATTGCGACATTCTGGCAGTGCGCCGAAAATAGTGTTCCAAAAACAGTACAGTATTTGTTCTTTTGGTATTGTTAATTAGCACCCAGGAAGCACGAAAATCCAAGTACAAAGTCTCCATCTCTTGTAGTTTAGCTGTAGTTGCCTGGAGAAGTTGCATTTTTTGGGTAAAAATTTGGAGAGTTACTGCATGAGAATAACTTTGTTGACCTATTTACAATTTCCTCCTTGATTTAACAACCTTGATATCAGTCATTTAGCCAGGAAGATGAAAACTATAGCCCATAAATGGGGAAGGGAGGGAGGGTTCCAAGGCACCACCAAGGATCCACCAGAAAGAGGTCTTTTTATTACATTCAACACTGGTTTTCTGGGAAGGATTCTATTGGTGGTTCCTTGTTGCTACGTCATCACAGAAGAAAAACCAAAGGGGTACTCACCAGGGATGGAGATCAGCAGAAGGTACCCCCATCCCCCCAGGAATATGGAGAGTGACCCAGATCCACATAATCCTGACTTGGACCAGGAACACTTGCTAAGTAACGAGCTGCCAGCACTTTGTTGGACTGCCAAACCCCCACCTCCCCCCTTGCCCAAATATCTACCAAGGACATGTTAAGCACTTTCGCATTCTGATTACACTAAAATGCACCATCCAATTGCTATTCACAAGCATTCATATATTCATTGCTATCATACATAATCTATCCTAAACACAGTACTTTTATTTTTGCATCTATTCTAAAGAGAATTCATTTGCAAACATTTTAAGACAAACATTTTTAGTTACAAAAACAAAAATTGAGAAACAAAATGATTGTAAGCATTTCAAGCATCGCTGAGTGGGACCTGGACAACCAGCAATGTTTATACTCAGGAACATGCAGTGAGGAGCATAGTATGGTGTCCAAGCTGCCATACAGCTGAGTGAAGAACAGCTCCATAGCAGCCTAAATATGCATAACCATGGCCAAGCGAGTACGAGCCCTATGATCCTCCGTGATATTGGGCCCAGAAAGTGAAGGCAACTAAACGTACAGCTGCCACACACCCACACCCCAGGACTAGGATGCAGACAGACAAGCCTGAAACAGCACATAGGAAGCACCACCCTAAAATGTCTGACCGATAGAACTAGCCTCATACCACTGGAGCATTTAAGTATGTCAAAAACAATGGAAGACCCTAAGGAAAATAGAAGGTTGCCTGCAAGCCAAGACGAATCAGAAACCTCATACTGTACTAGAACGAAAAAGAGGTGGCTGGCCCAAATTCAAAAGACGGGGTCCATCAAGGATGCGAGATCCTAATCCTGAAGGAGAAACTGAACAAGAGCTGAGCATGCTGCAGAGGGCAAAAGGCGAGAATCTTTTGGGCAATTGAACGTGAAAAATAAAAACACCCGGAGGCGCGCTGCACACCCAAAGCCTGGGCCTGCAGGCGCATTGCGCAGTTAAAGGGTTAAGCAACCTAAAACTTAATCTACATTATACTTTAATTTTATGCTTGGCTGACAAAGTCCTGTGCTATAAGATTTAGCAAAATATTTATCTACTTTGCCCCCATTTCCTTTTTTCATTAGCCAGTGGCACCATGTCACGCACACTTAGTACAGTATGTAGGATAACACAAGAAAAAATCACTTACTTTAAAACAAGCATTCAAATAAGCCTTGAAAATCAATAATTGCTTAATAATGTATATATTATACAGTAAATATAATAATAATTAATTAATTTTATTAACCCTTGGTATCAAACAGCATGGTTGATCAGACCACCGACCAGGAGGCCTGGTCAGAGACCGGGCTGCAGGGACTCTGGCAGATGGATAGTGCAATTCTTTCAGCCCCAGTATATCAGTACAAGGTGCCATACAGTACTCTGGTTGGGGTGAGCTGAAAAATGGGAAGTTACCACCATAGTGACAAAACAAACAACTATCAAAAGAAACTGCTAAGCCAGGAAAGCTATACTGTACTGAATACTGTAGTGCTATCAGTGTTAAAATGTTCAAGAGTTCCTAGATGTCATTCAAGATGCCAACACAATTTTAGAAAGATATAAGATTAGCATGTTTTATAAAGAAGTCAGATTCACTGGATTTTATTGAAAGATAAAAGTATGACTCAAAGGAACAAATGCAAATTTTCTGACCCTGAAAATCAACACAATATACAACGAAATGAGTGACAGCTGAACGATACAATTCTGACAACAAGATGCAGGTCTCTGTTCCATTAAGTACCCATGAATTAATCTTGTGTGACCAGTACATAACCAGAGATGTGTTCCACTGTTTCAGTGACAAGAGGAAGGCCAAGGGAACAGGTCACTTGATAGTACTGTATGCAATTTGTTACTCAAAATGACTAATCATCTCTCCAACAGTTGAAGATTGTTATGAATGCATCCAGAAGATGGGACAAGTTGGAGAGTTCTGTTTGACTGGCTCATGAATAAGGTGCCAGGCTGGCTGGGACCCTGAATGATCTGGGCCGCCATATGGTGGTGGTTGGATGCATCATGGTGAGGGCATTTACCCCATAGAAATGATCATGCTTTGTTTAAGTAAATTAAAAATACTGAGGTAAAGTCGCTTGTTTTGTTTGGTCCTATTCTTTCTAGCGCGTTTTCCTCCATTTTTATTGATATACTGTATGAACTTTGAGCTTCCCTTCACCTCGTAGGAGGCGGCCTGGTGCAATTGCTATGACTTTGCAGTATAGTACCAGTGCTTTAGAACCTACTGAGAGAAGTCATCCCAGAAAATATGGTGATCACCTAAAAATTCTGTACAAAAATCTAGTTGCTATACTTTACATGTGGCAAGATGGTACAAGTGAATTTTTCCCTTTATTCTGCCACAGAGAAAATAATTCAAAACCAATTTTGTATGTAGGCTATGAAAAATATAGGGGAATTATGAGAAAAATATTTAAGAAATGTCTAGTTTACATAGTCTGTGTGTAGGAAGAAGACAGAAAGACCATTCACAATAGGAACCCAAAATAGATCATAAAAATTAATTATATAAGTACTTACCACAGGCAGTCTGTACAAATTTAAGAAAGGTGAACTGAAGGTGTTCATTATGAGTCAGCCAAGTCAGCTGTTCGCAGCATGTCACCACCACAGTTAGGCGGGAATAAACAGCTGATCTTGGCATGCAGTGTAGACAGCTGTAAGACCATATGACGGTGCCGTACATTTGTCTTTTGTTTCAGAGCATTTATTCCTAATATTTTTTCTTTATCATGCACTTGTTAACTTATTATCAAAATGTTTAATTTTATATTTATATAAATTAAGTTCACTAATTATCTAATTATAGAAAAGTACTGGGTACTGTATACATATTCACACTTGCCACAGTGTCCATGAAATATATAAGTTTCATAACATCACTACACAATGTTATATGACTGAATGAGTGATTTCAGTCAATTCATACAGTACTTAAATTTTCTTATAACACTTTGGTTTATACACACACACATTTTTCTATGACTAGGCAATGGCAGATTCACGCAGGTATGCCACACTATACTTCTAAATATGTTAATACACCGACCTATATGGAAAACACTTGCACTGATGATTTTTTCTATTGTGAGATTACTAACCTTTCTACACAAAACTTGCAATAATTTCGGTTTCATTAAAAAATAATCTGGCCAATAATTTTTCATCGATGAGCATCTTAAAATAATAAATGTTATTGGTATTTTCAACATCATGAAATTATCAATAATGCAGCTTTTGAAACAGTCATGAATATGTGGCACAGAATCTTTGCCAGAATTTCATATAAATGTGGCCACATCACCACCACCTCTTGTTGCATGGCGTCTTGCATTACCAGCTACAGTACCTATGCACTTTGCCTCACATTACATCTTTGATAAAAAGCTTGCTTAGTTTGTGGTGCAAGCGACCTGCTGTCTTGCTGGCAAGTGAAGATGTTCACAGTCATGGAAAAAACACTCATTCACACAATCCAAGCGCAAAGACCCAGCACGCATAATGAATTGGGCCAGGCACAATTGCGACAAGCACACAGGTAACAGGCCTGGCAGTGGGAAACAAGTCCTGTGCATTACCATTAAGCAAAGTGACTCAACAGAAGCCAACTTCCAACAAAGAAAGAACCCAAACCCCCTCAGAGCAAGCATCAATGGTGGGACAAGGAAAATGCCAGCTGATTACTAAGGAAGGGAACCCTGACCTACAGAGTGACATACTGTACAAAGCTAGAGCACACAACGTTGGTGACGAAACAACTGGTGGTGGTCAGGCACTTAACAGTTAGTGTGTTTACACTACTGCAACGAATGTCTGCCTCGTTCTCTTTGGGTATCGTGTTTTCTTAAAAAGCAGTTGCTTGTTTTGCTCCACTCACTTCACAGGGGAGAGCCAGATACTGGTCCAGCTCCTGGTGGGAAAGGGTGGGTCTTGGAGGCCTGGTGCATCTCCCGGAAACATGGCTACTGAAGGGCCCGCCCAGAAAAGGTGTGCATAATAGTTGAACAAAAATGGTATGAGGTTTAAAAGACAACTAGGTAACAGCACTTTTTTTTGTGTATGGATTTCCCTTCCCCAGTGAAAAACAATCGCTTTACTCCCCATAAAGAAGTGTTTTTACTAGCAACAATGGTCATCCTATATGAATACAATTGGTAAATGTTTTCCAAAAAAATAATTTGTGCATCACAAAAAGATACCAGTAAACATTAAGCAATCTGACTTTAAACATTTCTAATGGATTCTAACAAAAGAAGAGTTACCTTTCATTTTCATTTATATAAATTTTAACAAATTAATCCATTGATTTACATTCCTTCAAACTAATTAATGCTTTAACTCTAATATCTCCTTTCTCTCCTTTGTTTTTTTTTATATTATATACTATACAGTGGATGATATGTGACATTTAAACAATAACATCAAAATTATGTCAAGACGATCATATTGTTATCACTGCTAAGAATATAAAGTAAAAAGGCATGCAGGATCATATCCAAGACATGAAAAAGACAAAGATAAAAAGAGGGCATTTAAATCAATTTAAAGAGATAAAGCATAAAGCGTGAAGAAGTGCAGCCATGTAAGAGCAAGACAGAAATTAAAGAAACAACAAGTACCGAGGTGAGCATATGGGGCAGTATGGAAGAGTAACTACAGAGCAGTACAATAAAAAGATGCGGCTAGAATTGTTTATACAGAGAGAGAGAGAATACAAAAAGATAAATATTTCTTTACATCCATCCTAAACTTTACTCATGATGCACTACTGCTCCTGGTGAGCACCAGGGCAGGCAAAAAATATGTACTATGACTGTAAAAATATCAGGCATCATACTGAAAGTCATGTTTTCAATACTTAAACAAATTAGTTCCTGGAGCATTAGTTCCTGGTGAACAAAAACAGCAAATATGAAAACTGAAGCAAGTCATAATATTCTGCATGAAATACTTGAGGCTACAAGAGAAATACATATGCAGGAAATGGATTTAGCATTAAGCACGTTCAAGTCAAATGTTCTTAACGTGACCACTTTTTTAAATTATGAATAATAATTACATAAAATTCTACTGTATGTTCAAACTATTACTTGCTTCAGAAAGTGTGAAAAATTAACATAACTCTGAACTTACGGAGCACTAAGAGAAGCACTACGGAGTCTAGGTTAAGACACAACACAACAGCACTGGCCAGGCGGGCGCTCAGATATATCAGCATTGGGCTTGTGGCTAGGCTTTTGGCACTTAATATGGGGTTTTGGAGAGCTTACGTCACTGGGATCTACGTCAGCAATGTCAAATGTGGGAGCTTGTGAAACTGTCTCTCCATCTTTCAGTGGCCTTCCCATACTGGAAACACTATCTTCACTGTAATGTACACTTAAACTTGATTCTGAATGAGTTAGGTGTTTAGTAGAAAGTTGGTCACAACTATCGGCAAGAAGCAGATTATTGAGAGAGTGTTGTTCAGTGCTCACTTGTTTGCGGACAACTCCAAGCATTCCCTTTGTACTATGGCATTCACCTTCACCTCTGCTGTCTGCCCCTCCACTCTCACCCATGCTACATGCACCAACACTTTCTCCAGATTCCTCTGCTATCTGGCTAGAGGGTAACCAAACACCCGTGTCCATATCCTGGAACCCTCCTGATACTGGAGAAGGTGGTGGCTTGTCTCCACTTTCACAAAGTTTTGGTGAAGATGGTGGACTAACTTCCTGAGTGGGTTTCAGAGATTCAGAACGGACATACACACTTGAATTTTTTTTAACGTGGTCAGCATCTTGATGCACAGGAACCTCTTCAAACCATTCTTCAGTTGAAGAGCTATGATGGGAGATTAACCGGGATGATGAGGCTCGGAGTCGGAGCTTAGCACACGGCGGATATGTCTGATGGAGGCAGCTACCAGTGTCAAGAGAATGAGAAGCAGCTAAAGGTATATGCCAGTGAGGTTTTAATGGCACAAAGCTTGTGTTTGGTGCTGAATTGACTCGTTTCAGTAGCTGTTCATGGCCAATTACACTTGTCCCATCCACAGAGGTTCCACCCAGTAACAAAAGGTTGCGTAAAAGGTCTCTAGATTGTACTCCACCTTCAGTTCTCATTTGAGGTTCTCTAGCTGGGTAGCCACATTGACAGTGATGGCTAATTTTCTCTTCACTAGCACCAGCACTACACACACATTGAGGCACTAAACATGGCCCGTGACTGCTGACACTACCTGGAGCAGGAGCCACATCTACCCTTACTGGGGTAACACATGCAGCAGCTGGAATGACTGGGGTGACCTGGCCTGGAAGGGAGGGCGGGGTACTACTGTTGGGGCACACAGACGTGACTACAGGTCTTGGGCAGGGTGGGTAGGACTGACACAGGCACCAACCCGCCTGCACAAAACAGTGAGCGTCAGGTTCATGCACAAAGTTACGACATGGTGCATGAGGAGAGCAACACGTCACTATACCTGCTCCCATGGGCACCTCCACACACAAACTCACGGGCTGCATGAGAACAAAAAAGTACGGCGTTAGAATATGGAAGTTACAGTTATCAAATTACTAGTCTATCCTACTTTATCTGAACAATATCCAAGCAAATAATTACAGCTCTGGGGCTAATAACTATAAGTCTGGACATGCAATTTATCTATAATTTGCAAAAGCACAACCTTGATGTATAGCTAAAGCTGTCTAAGAGCCAACATCTGTTGCTCTGGCAATGAAAATCAATGCCATAGAGAACACTTTGTTCATACAAGATCTGTTGTTATATATATACTGTACATTCATACAGGGGTACTGATACACAAAAATTAAACAGGAAGAAACAAAATGCATGTGGAAACCAATGTAATTAGTTTACTAGGCCTATGACCATAAAACTGAAAATAATAAAACAATATTCCTTTTTCAGTTAATACTGGACATCGCTAATTTTGCAAACTTTTTAAGTACATTTTATTTCAATTACTGTACATTAAGAGCAGTCCCTGTGGTGCAGTGGTAAGACACTTACCTGGCACTTTGTGAGCACTTTGGCCAGGGTTCGTATTCTGGCCGGGAAGGATTGACCGAGTGCCAGATCCTTAATTATTGGATTAAGAATTGATTGACCGAGTGCCACTGTTCACCCAGCAGTGAATGGGTACCTGGTTGTTAAATGATTTGGCGGGTTGTATCCTGGGGAAAATTACGATTAAGGACCTGCCCGAAACGCTATGCATGCTAGTGGCTGTACAAGAATTAAAGAACTCTTGTATATATAAATAAATAAATAAAAAATAAATAAAATACATTCATACTCAATGTGGAGCCTTCCAATATTTTTTGCCTGAAACACTGTGCGTATTACATTAGTGGCTTTAGGTTTAGTATATACCATACTAGCTCTATCTAGAAATCCAACATTCTGTAACTCATTTTGTATGTATATACTTTTACCTAAATAAAGAATTATTAATTATTATTATTTCCCTATAAGAAACAGGTATTTGTCCACATAAAGCCCATTTAATGTTTGTTTTAATTACTATTTGCACATGTGTCTGTACATGAAGCTGTCAAATTATATTTGATATTTGAATTCAGGACAAATGAAGAAAAACAAAATTCTAGACATAAGAATGGCTTAAATTATCATGATTCTGTCCTGATACAAACTTTTTGTGGGCATAAGGCACTAAAAACACAAGACTCAGAAATTGGCATTTATGAAACTTGGAAAAGCTACAGTAGTTGCTGAAACAATTACAAAATTGCCATGTTATCCTTTAGTTAGCAGAAATATTAACATTTGAGGGCTATGCTTCAGCTTAAAAGATCATGAATGTAAGCATGTGTATATTATTCTGACAATGATATTAAAGTACACATACATGCATTTTCACACCATATAAATACAAAAACACACTGACCATATTTATATCTGTGCTGTGTGTGTAATTACCCAAGTGTAGTTACAAGATGAGCGCTATGCTCGTAGCATCCCATCTTCCCAGTACTCTGTCATATGACTTTGAAACCACTGACAGTTTTGGTATCCACCGCCTTCTCACTTAACTGTATCCAACCGTCTACTATTATGTTTGCAAAATAGAACTTTCTAATATTTTTTTGGTACGTTTGTTTTCTTAAGACTGAATCTATGACCTCTTGTTAGTGATGTTGCAGGTTTCAAGAATTCCTGTCAATTTTTGTTACCATTTTGTGTGATCATATCGCCTCTTTTTCTTCCGTTTTTCTAGCTTTGGCGTATTGAAAATTTATAGCCTCTCCTCGTAGCTCTTATTTTTCAGTTCCAGAAGCCATTTACCAGCACACGTCTTTGCACCTTTCTCTAATTTAATATTGTGCTTCTTGAACACATCACTACAACATGTGAGCAGGAAAAATTTAAATAAGGAAGTACCTAAGCAACTGGCAGAAGACTGCCAGTCACTATGAGGGGCAAGATTTTAGAGAAGCAAGATGTTACTAGTGGAGTCCCCCCAGGTTTCGGTTCTTGTTTTCGATCCTCTTTCTCATACAGTACATGTAAATGATCTTACAAAGGGAATAGACTCATTCCTCTCAATGTTTTGCAGATGATGCAAAAATTATGAGGATTAAAACAGAGGAAGACAACAAGAGGCTACAAGATGACCTGGACAAACTGAATGTCCAACAAATGGCTACCAGAGTTTAACTCAAGTAATTGTAAAGTAATGAAGCAGGTAACCAGACACAAAGTACCTAATGTGAGATGAAATTTTCCATGAAATGGACAAAGAAAGATCTAGGGGTTGATATCACATTAAACCTGTCTCCTGAAGCCCACATCAAAGGGATATCATCAGCCACATGTGCAAGACTGGTTAACATCAGAACTGCTTTTCTAAATTTGTGTTAAGAATCATTTAGAACCTTACATGTGTATATAAACCAATCTTGAAGTATGCAACTCCAGCTGGAGTCCATACCTAATCAAGCATAAGACAAAGATGGAGAAGGTTCAAAAGTATGCCATGAAATTAGTACCAGGACTATGGGGGTATGAGTTATAAGGAAAGGCAACATGAATTGAACCTTGCATTGCTGGAAGACAGAAAAGCTAAGGGAGACATGATTACCAGATACAAAATTTCTCAGGGAAAATGATATGGCATATAAAGACAAACTGTTTAACATGGGTGGAATTCAGAGGAGGGGAGAGAGGTGGAAACTGAGTACCAAAATGAGCCACAGAGACATTAGAAACAAGTGTTCAGTGTCAGTAGTTAACAAATTAAATGATCTAGGAAGTGATGTGGTGGAGGCACACTCCACACAGTTTCAAATGTAGATATAAGAGCTCATCAGGCTCAGAAATCTGTACACCAGTTGATTCACAGTTTAGAAGTGAAACAAAGAGCTGAAACACAATCCCTGCAAGCACAACTAGGTCAGTACAGGACAAGCAGTATTATTATTGCTTAAAATACAAATTATGAATTTCTAAAGATGGCACAATATGAACAATTATTGTAAATATAAATGCTGTACTGTACAGCATTTCCCTTCCCTCCCCTCCCTCTTCCTTAGTTAAAATTAGTTTCCAGCCAGGGACTGGAACTGGTCAAGTTATAGCACCCTCTTCTTTTTTTCTTTTGTAACACAACCTGCCAATCATGTTATTTGCAAGTCTCCAATTACTGCTGGGCATGAAGGGGTAAAGGTAGTGAAGGAACAGTGTCCAATCATCCAACTCTGTCTAGAGCTTGAACCTAGAACTTTTAGTATGTGAAGCGATGTGGGAAAATACTACAGCACATTGAGCTTCTCAGATCTCCCTCCCTTTCCTCTTATTCCCTTCCCCTTCTTACTCTTTCACTCCCTTCTGCTCTCTTCCTCCTTCTCAGATGAAATAGAAGTGAGGGGTTTGTGGGGTAGATTTTATAGGGGGTGGGGATGATGTTAAGGGGGGTTGGTCCGATGTTAATGGGGGTTGGACCTGACGTTTTGGTGGGGTGGGAGTGTTGGTGGGCAGGTGGTGTGGGCTTGCATTATCTCTTTTTACCTTACTTCATATATTCGCTTTCAAATTTATTTCTTAATGTACTCATGATAAAACATACAAAATTATTGTCATTCATCACACCAATGTGCCAGAACAGCTTCCCCATGTTGACAACAATACTCAATCCAAGATCATTAACTGCTTTATACAGTATATCTTTATTCTATTTTCAATTTTGAGGGCTAAATTACCCCATTACAATTTTCTACTAACTCAAACTTGTCACAACCCTATCTGCAGTATCCTCACAACCTGCTCTCTGTAGACATGTACAGAATTCTTGGAAGTCCTGCGAACCCACGTTACACTAACCCACGTTTTTTTTTGTAAGGGAAGGGGGGGAGGGGATGAGGAACTACCCAAGTGTAGTTACTGGATAAGAGCTATGTTCAGGTTGTGTGTGTGTGTGTGTGTGTGTGTGTGTGTGTGTGTGTGTTTGAAGATATAGGGTATGCATTTTAAATATAAAATAATGGCATAAAAATCAGAAAGAATTTAAAGACTCCGAACTGACAGTGAGCCGAGTAACTTCACAAATGAATAAACTTTTTTGCAATTGTCATATATATGTGTGTGTGTGTGTTCTCTGTAAACTGTATCATTGCAATAAAACAAAACAAAAATTAAAAAAAATTAAAAAAAATAATAGGGGTGGTAGAAGAAGAAAAGATTATAGTATTCAGTGAGAATCCACAAGGTCTTCTCTGAATACTCTTTATTTTCTTCTTCGAGGACGTGGGTCCCTACAATTGCACCGGAGGTGGTACCCTTATTATATATATATACATATATATATTTATATATCTATATAAATAAAAATGGAAATGATCGTTTGTTCAAAAACGCTAATCTCCAAAAGTTCTCCACCAATTGCTTTGAAATTTTAACACAACGTTCCATTCACATCCAAGCGGGTTTTTATATACATAGTATATAGATGCCATGTCTGTGATGGGAAAAAACATGTTTTTTTTCATGTGTTTTCAGGTGAAGGAAATCTTCAAAACCTCTTTACCGATTTATTTGAAATTTTGACACATCATTGCATTCAAATAGGCGTGTGTTTTTATATACCTATTATATACATGCCTCACCTGTGACAGGAAAAAACATGCTTTTTTTTTTAAATGCCATCTGTTGGACGTAAGAGCAACACATGCTGTAATCTCCAAAAGTTCTTCACCGACTGCTTTGAAATTTTGACAGAACGGTCCATCCGAACACGCGCGTGTTTTTATATACTTACCATATAGATGCCACACCTGTGACAAGTAAAAACACTTTTTATTTAAACAGTGCCATCTGTTGCATGTAATAACACATGCTATTCTAGATATGTTACGATTCCATTTCAATATTTCCAATTGCATTGATAAATTGAATTTTCATAGATTTTGATTTATTTTCATTTTGATTTAATTATTTTGTGTGAAATTGCATTGGAATTGTGCTGTGTTGTTTACCATAC